GCTGCGTATATACGAATGTGAATCGCATCATTGGCTGGACTGTGGGATAAGGTGGCATCGTTCTGATCCCATATGGGAGCAGCCAGTCACTGACTAACACTGCAGAACTGAATTGTTAAAGTATTTATTTTAATTTCAATTCAGGTTAGATTTTTCATCTGTGCGCAGAGACCGTGCCTGCAATTGTGCTGGACTCCACAATTCTGACAATATCATGTACATCATTTTGATCAAAACCATCCAATGAGCCCTCAATAAAACAGCTTTATCTTTTGTTTTTATCATAACATGACGAGGAAGACAATCAAAACAACTGGGAACTGTTCTGCAGTCAATTGAAAAAACTAATCACATGTTCCCGGTCATGCTGACCACATTATTCCCTGCCTGGTTTAGACTGTTCAGTAAAACTCATGATGGTCTCTGGGTTCAAGCCAATGACCCATCTGTGAGAACAATTTTCATTGCTAAAAGTGGAGTCAGTTTAACACAGAATTTGGCATTGATGACCATACAACCCTGAGCATGATTGATCTTGTCCAAACTCAAATGCTAAATACGATCAGGCCTGGTTAGTACTCGAATCGAACAGTACTTTGATGCCATGATCCAACCGCCATAGGCAGAATCTAGACTCAGTGCTCATGGACTGTCTCTGACACCTCCCATTATATGAAACTTCACCTTCAATTTAGAGATGGTACTAGGCCTCACTTGAAACAATGCTGCTACTTGATTTTGTACCAAATTGTACAAAATTGTAGTTGCCAGATCAGCCAAATGTGTCATGCTTGGATAAGATATCTATTGACTGTTGAAACGGGGTCCATGCTAACAGGTCCTGATAATCAGGCACCAGTCAGCCACCTGATCATCAGCTCTACCAGAAGCTCAAAACAGGAGTAAATCATACAACAAGCTGACTGGAAATGGTAGCGCAGATTTGGCACGTTTTTCATGGGTGCAACCCACTAATACATTTTCCTTACAAATGTGGCACCATCTAAGATCACAAATATCCTTAGTTTTTGTGCTGAGTTTAATGTTCATTACACATTTTCTATTCATCTACGTGTATGTTTTGTATCATACAGTGCACCATACCACTATAGGCTGCCTGAATAACTCTTCCACCGCAGCATTGTGAAGAGCACTCAGGTTCACGCCATAGAAGCTCCTCTGCTGCCTAAAGGGAAACATGTAAAGAGCAGAGATCAAGTTATTTGCAGTCGACCGATTGGCACAACTGGTGGTTAACACCGTACCTGTAATTTTACCCCTCAGTTTCTAAATGCGCTCAGATGGCAGCTTAATTAGTCTGAGCAAAATATTTAACAATAGCTTATATATACTGTGGTGTGAAAAAATGTTTGCCCTCTTCCTTTTTTCCCATTTAGATAAAACATAACAAAAGTAAACACAACATGCAGTTTGTGAATGAAGGTGTAAAACAATCTGCATCTACAACCTACAAAAGTAATTACCCCCCTAAACCTAACGAGTGGTTGGGCCACGCTTAGCACGAGTGCTTTAGAGTGGAATTTAGACCCACTCATCTTTGCAGAATTGTTGTAATTCAGCCACGTTGCAGGGTATTTTTAAGGTCGTGCCACAGCATGTCAGTCGGATTCAGGTCAGGATTTTGGATGGATGAAGAAAAACAAAATGAAGACTTTGGAGGGGTCTAGTCAGAGGTGGACTTGCTGATGTGTTTGGATCGTTATCCTGCTGTAGAGCTCAGGGTGACGAGCAGATGGTCGGACATTCTCCTTCAGTATGTTCTGGTAGACATTCATGGTTCCGTTTACCACGGCCAGTCTTCCAGGTCTCGCGGCAGCAAAACCTCCCCAGACCAGACCCCCAGGGCCATGAAGGTTTTGATTTTTTTTCCCCTTAATAATAAACGCCTTCATTTTGTGTTCACTTGTGTTAACTTTGTCTAAAATTTAAGTTTGTTGGATCAGAAATGTGTATGAGAAATACACAACCCCCACCCCCCAAAAAACAGGAAATCATGCAGAACTTCAGAGAATAATTAATGTTATTGTAAATGTGATTACAAAGATTAAAATTGTCAAATGTCTTTCTTCTACTGCTGAAAAGTGAGGGAAGTAGAAACTGATGGAAAACGTTTACAGTTTACATTCATTCCTCAGTACCGATGGAGCTTGACCTGCACATAGTGGTAAAGCAGTGAGGGGAAGAGAGCATAGCAGCACTCACATACACACACATGGTGGCATGCATGCATGCACATGCAAACTCCAAAACAGAGGTGGTATTGTTTGCAGGCTGAACACGTCAAAGGCATGGAAGCGATCGTCACCAGAGCTGTATTTTAAATGAAGTCAGAAGTCTTAAAAACATGTTCTGTGAACTGGCCAAAGCATGCTGGCACATACGAGCGGTGATCAGGCCTGAGAGCCCAGTAATTAGGGCTGTATCCACATGAGTCAGGTGCTCAGAGTCCCCTGTATGACCTCTGGTCTAGTATGCATGCCGTTTTCCACTTTGTCCAACATCACATCAAACAAATGAATGACAAATGTTATAAAAACAAGAAAGGCATGCTGTCTCATCATAAAAGTTTGTTTCTTGTGTTTCTTCAAAGTATATTTCTCCCTGTGTTAACATGAAATGATGGGTCCAGGTGATCAGAAATATTCCTGCCTTAGCTTAAAAATCAGAAGGTCAAGACTAGGGTCCAGTTGTGTTTCAGAGAATAAGGTTTAAATACTATTTTGAGAAAACGATTCTATTTGGGAATTTGAGCTAATATGCAGATTACAGTTGTTGTTTCAAGATAAACTGCCATGGATACTACACCCTCACGCCTTATGTAGATGATTAGCCGTCTTGTGATAGAACATACGTCCTTTATTGCACGAGGGTGGAACCGTTGATAACCTTGCATCTGTGCATCACCAGCCATTTCAATTTGTACAAATCCACTCGTCCTATTTGTGAGGTTGACCAAATGGAGCTTTTTGCGCCATCTGATTAACCACACTGTGTCTCTGTGCAAAAAGATCATTTCCTTCCTTGCTACTAAAACCGATTTCACTCACTCAGAGGGTACAGCAATATTACTTTCTATGTGTTATTTAGATTTTTTTTTGTGCCTTGCATTTGGTTTTACTTCCCCTTCTGTCTCGTTGGTCCGGTTCAGTTCACCAGTGCATTGTTTTCCCAGCTGAGTTGCTTCTCTCTAATCACCTCCTGTGCATATTTAAGCCCTCAGTTTGACATGTTTTTCCCTCGTTTGCACCCTACTATATGTCCTGTACCTCTTCAGCTTCTGACTTTTTCCTGCTTTCTTTATGGACTTCGACTGATACAAAAAAACCCAAATCCATTTTGTTTTGTATGAGTCAGGACTGGACTAAATGTTTCACAGCCTGACTGTCAAACGTGCGAGATATAAAAAGGAGCCAGTGTGTTCGTGTCCCCGGGAATAGAGTTATGTCTGTGCATCTGTGCGTGAGTGACAGACCAGAAATTGGCCCGTGCGTAGTGCTCAAAGTACAGCTGGTCATCACTGAAAGGAGCCACGTGAATGTCTCCATAGGAGGGAAACATCACACCTGGAAATTGAGAGAAGTGGATAATAATAGAAAGGCAGAGAAAATGAATAAGTGAAAGACAAAAACGCTAACAGAGGAAGATATAGTCGCTCCTGTTCCACTGCAGAATGTGGGGGCAGGCTCAAGGTGCAGTTTCATAAAACTGCTTCAGCCAATGAGCTGCTGTCACCATAAAATCGAACCAAACCTCGTCAGCAGAGGAAATCAAGATTTCACTGCATTGCTGTTTATTACTTCCACCAATAGAGTGACAGCAGCAGTTTTCATTTGTTATTCCTCTCACGTAAAGAAAATGCACCGAGCTGAAGAGCTGAACTAATCAGTCCAGCCCTGCTCAGTACTTTTTGAGGTGCCACTTGGAACAAAGTACCTTCTTACTCAGAACAAAGAGAATTCCTGCAGTTGGAACTCAATTAAAGGTGTTCTTTTTCTCAGTGTTTTTAATCACATCCATAGTGGCTTATACAAATGATGCCTCATTACATTAAAACATAGTTTAACCTCAATATCTGGATTCCTACCATTGGGTTTGAGCCATCTCCTGGCAAACAAGAAGTTCTCCATGAGCCTTTCGTTAACTAACATATAACCCATGGGCTCAGAGATGATGACATCCACCATGTCAGGAAGATTGACCTGCTCCATCTCCCCCTCAAAGACCCTGATGTGCTCAGAGAGACGGTTATCCTCCACCAGGATCTGAACAGGAGACAGAAAATATCTCCTGCGTTAAACACCTCACTGTAAGACTGCACGACTATTAAAGAATATTAACTTCACTCCATAGCACCAGGACACTGTACCACATACTATACTGTACTGTGCAACACTCTGGAAACATGTTAGCAGACGTTCCTATTTTGTCTTATGTTTGTATCCCAGTCATTATCAATCTGTTTCATAATAAGTAATCATTTTAGCCATTGTGAACCCCGCTTTTTAGAGAAGTTTGTCTCCAAATAAACTTTCATGTTTATGAGAAATAGTTTTCTCAAGTTTTTAGCAGGACTTTAGCTAGGGTTTATTAAACTCATTTGACTCAGGAATGGACTTTTGTAGTCTAAAGCCTGCAGTACTAAAGTACTTTAGCCTACAAGCTACAGTTGCTTGTGTGGCAAGATCTGAAAACTGCTGTTCACAAACGCTGCCCATCTAATCTGACTGAGCTGGAGCTGTTCTGCAAAGAAGAATGGGCAAAGATTTCAGTCTGTAGATGTGCAAAGCTGGTAGAGACAGACCCTAAAAGACTGGCAGCTGGAACTGCAGCAAAAGCTGGTTCTACAAAGTATTGACTCAGGGGCTGAATAATTACACACACCCCACTTTGAAGTTATTTATTTGTAAAAAATGTTTGGAGTCATGTCTGATTTTTGTTCCACTTCTCACGTGTGCACCACTTTGTGTTGGTCTTTCACCTGGAATTCCAATAAAACTGATTCATGTTTGTGGCTGTAATGTGACAAAATGTGGGAAAGTTCAGGGGGCCGAATACTTTTGCAAACCACTGTACATGCCAATATGTAATTACCAGTCCACCTAACACGAATGTCTTCTAACTGTGGTAGGATGGCAGAATATTTGGAGCAAATCCATGCAGACACAAAGGAAGAATGCACACACAGAAAGTCTCCTGTTGTTAAAGTTTGCATTACTTATTTAACCCAAAGAGTTTTTACAAATAGCTGTTCCTGTCTGTGTTTAAAAAGCACTTTTGCATGACAGTAGTATTGTTTCAGTTACGAATGTATCATTTCCAGCACTGGTGTAAGTCTGTACTGTGTGCTTCAGCTTTCTGCAGCCCCTATCCTACTAAACTCTTGGCCACATGTTGAAGCAATCCATTAACTCCTGAGAATGCCACGCTCTGCATCTCATGTATGTGCCCTATGTGCTTGCACGCATGACTCTGGTCTCACTTAAGACTTTATCAAAGCCAAAATGCATGTAGACTGTAATCCAGGCCCTTCATGTCTTTAACTCTTACACACCAAAACTTCAAATTATGCTTGTAGGTTAGTTAGAGAATGCTAAACAATGGCTTCATTATTGCAAGAAAGGTTTTCAAATATAAACAAAGAGTTAAACCTGCACAGTTAAGGAAAACAATATAAACGGTAAAAGAATGAACCACGCTGACCTGTGTATACTTGGCCATAGGGCTGGACTCAACAGCATACACTCTGGCAGCCCCTGCCTGCACTGCAAAAAAAGACAGAATACCAGAACCACAGCCCACATCCAGAACCACCTACAGAGACAAGAAAGCATGCAGACACCAAGTCAAACTTCCCATAGAATAAAGTCAAAGTGAAAACCTCAGACCAAAAGTGAAAAGGAAAAGAACTGAAAGTGTCACAAAGCAAAAACTGTAGACAGCTTTTCAGCAAGAGCACAAGATTTTATATGGAAAACAATAAGAAACCAGGAAATGGGAAAACACGTTTCACAGCAGTGAAATAGGTAAACTGTACAGACCTTATAGACATAATTAAGGAACGTGCTATAACACTATCCATTCATAGAAGTGCACCTTGTCTCTGAAGTCAGCCTCATTGACTAAAATGGCTTTCTGATAGGTGGCGTTCCTCAAGTAGTCCTGAAGCAGGCTCTGCTGCTGGGTCAGACAGCTGTGGAACTGCAAACACGCAGAAGCATTAAACCATGTTCGAGTGTCAAATTTAAGGTTCGAATTCTTGGTTCGCTTACCTGGTAGCACTGTGCAGGGTTCTTTTCAATCCTTCTGTTAAACATTGTTGGTCCTCTCTCTGCATCCTTATTGCCTCCCTGATGTACTTCAATCCAACCTTTCCCCTTCTCTTCATTTTCCTCGGTCTTCAGTAATCTCTGGAAGTTCTGCATATCTAAAGAGTCAAAGACAAGTTTCTTTCAGCAGTCTACAAATCAGAACTTCTCATGGTAGCAATTATTATAGAATATACTCTACAAACCAGCTGGAGTTTTGAATTGCAGCAGAAGACTGAAGTTGTTGTTGTTGGTGACTAAGAAGGACTGACCTCCGACCTGGCAGCAGTCCATCTCCTCGGAAACAGTGAACTGGAAAACCAATGCTTCGTTGGCTGTAAACACGTTCCACACATAAAGAGGACACTTAAAAACAGTAAGATTTGTATCCACAGGGTTTTTAAAGTGCCGAACGTCACCGAGATCAGCAGCTGTGAGTCATTTAAAGAACACGTCATAGCAACTGCATTGACACCAGACATGGTGCAGTATTCAGCTTCTTCAGATCATGACACCTCCCCTCTGGGACTGTACAGAAGCAGGGGCGACCTCGTGAATCAGTACCAGAGGGGAGGATGGAAGTCAACTGACTAATGTGTGGCGCAAGGTTTTGCTGGCCATTCACTGTACAAGGTCTATGCTGGTCTTGCCTTTTCACTTGTTCACCGTGAAGGCTGCTGTAAGGGCTTCTAGGTGACTCGGGATTAGGAAGAATGATTCATTAGATGAAAGCCGGAGTGTGATCAACACTGGCTGGGCCACCTACGTGAGCTTGAAAGACCCCAAAACCCATAAAGACCTCAGAAACATCACTGAGGAAAACTAAATACAAGACAGAGCGACGTATTTCCATGAAAACATAAACTGCTAATGCTACCCACTCACATGCAAAGTGTTACAGCCAATGTGTGACCCACTGGGACACAAACTTCCATACAAGAGCAGTAAAGTTAGGTCAGAACTAACCACCTTCTATTGCCAGATGATATTCACTATAAATACATATATACATACTTTCAATTACTAACTGGCTTTCTGTTATTACTGCTGCTAACCACTGGTCTAAGCAAACATAGTGTGTTTGTATAGTTGTGTATGTGTTTTGCTTTTCCTTGCGTACTTACCATCCTGCACAGTTACCTGCTGAGCTTCCTGTCCTGTGGTGAGATGAAGAGTGAGTTCTTGGTCGTTTCTCTGTCCGCACACATTCACATGCTGGCCTCTGCTCACCTCTCCTTGAACCTGCTCCTCCTTCAGAAGCCAACCACAGCAAAGTGTTCAGCTCTGTCTTCCAAATCTTAAGTTTGCCTACAAGCGAACTGCATTATGTATAACTGCATTATTAGTTATGGAGCAGAATTTGCTAACTGCAGAGAAAAAACAATATCTATCTTGCACGGACAAAACTATATAAAGTTTTTGCTTTTGTTCACTGGATAAATTCTCAACACAGCAATTTCAGTGATGGGAAATGTCATGGTGGCAATTTCCACTTTCAAATTGAAGGCTGAGCTGGTCGTTCTGATGCTACTGACTTGGCCAATGCAATCCCTACAGTGAAGCATGGTGGTGCGGCATCATACTGTGGGAATGTTTGTTTTTGCTGCAAAAACAGGGAAGACTCGTCAGTGAGTGGTCCAGCCAGAACCCAGGCTTCAGTCAAATGTTCATGTGATGCCAGAGCTACAGGGACATGCCCAAAAAGTACTGCAGTCCTTTGCCCTCCAGCCATCCTTTGAACAGTTTTGGGTTTAACTTGACCAAAATTCCAGATAGCTGCTGTGCTATGCACTAATTGGGCGATCGTGGCTCAAGAGTTGGGAGTTCGCCTTGTAATCGGAAGGTTGCCGGTTCGAGCCCCGACAGTCTCGGTCGTTGTGTCCTTGGGCAAGACACTTCACCCGTTGCCTACTGGTGGTGGTCAGAGGGCCCGGTGGCGCCAGTGTTCGGCAGCTTCGCCTCTGTCAGTGCGCCCCAGGGTGGCTGTGGCTACAATGTAGCTTCATCACCAGTGTGTGAATGTGTGTGTGGATGGGTGGATGGGTGGATGACTGGATGTGTAAAGCGCTTTGGGGTCCTTAGGGACTAGTAAAGCGCTATATAAATACAGGCCATTTAATCAGCCTTTATTGATAGCTACCAGAATGGCGTCGATCATGGCACTAACATGTGAACACGCCTCTCCTAACCCGGCCTTACAGCCCATATTGCACCAACCCCTGCTTCTCCACAGTAACACAGGCTGCCAGGCTCATTTAAACTGTAGGAATGATTTACCTGACACCGGGAAAAATACTCTGTCAACCTTACTGTTATAAAGCGACATTAATATGACAAATTAACACTACTGGAATTTTCAGGCCCTATACTGTAAATGTTCAAGTCAACAGGATGTAAGACTTATGTGCATCTGTTAGTTTAACCTTGCTTTAACAATGAACAGTTTCTTCTTCTTCAGCCTAACTGCAAAAAGGTGACAAAGCCTCTGCTGACTTTTACAGATGACTGTAGACACACATACTTCGACGACTCTCCAGACCTCCTTTGTACATACTGATGAGGATTTGAACCAAAACTTTCACTGATTTTCATTTCAGTTCTTGTGTAATTGTTCTTCTTAACAGCTCAATAATAAATAAAAAGGCATGTTTTTTAGAATTATACACAGCTGATCCTACGTTCTCAACAGCAGCAGCCTGTTTGCTTTCACTTCCACAGCAACAGCATTCATGCAGAATTACAGCTACAGTAGCCAATGCCAGTGCATGCAAAACACTTTATTGGAGGTGAAAGAGTGCACCTCTGTCACCTCCAATATCACCTCTTTATGTGTATCCACGCATGCTTCAGCTCTCACCTTTTCCTGCAGAGTGAAGACCCTGACAGAGAAAGCCAGTGAATGATCACTTCTCGTCTCCATTTTTCAGTGTAAAAGGAAGCTGCTCTTTGGAAAGAGAGAAAAAGGGAGGAGGAGGCACAGAAGGAATGGAAGAAAGAGGGAGGAGGGATGAATGCAGGGAGTCCAGCAGGGAAAATAAATTACGTAGAAATCCAGAACTAACCAACTAACATAACATCGGAGCAGTAGCCTCGCTGGCTCAGTTGTACATTGTGGTATAGCTCCCAAAGAAAAAACGAAAGTCTGCATTTAGTATTCCAGAAGTAACTTACTGGAATACTGCATTCAGTATTCCAGTATCAATCGTGTATTGTAACGTCGAGGTGTTAGATCAGCGTTTCAGTCTCAGTACAGCTACCCTGCAGCTGAGCTGGAGCACAAATAGTGTTTCAAAGAGAAGAATTGTTTTCTCACACTGGTGTTAACATTAGGTCAGTGGAACTTTACATTATCGACAGGTTCAGAAGTGGATTATTTGCTGTTTGTTCTTGTATTTGGATCGATACTTGATACGTTTAAGATTTGGACAAACGCGCACTGAAAGTGTATTTCTGCTCTGCTCTTTAAAATTCTGTTGACATGAATCATTACTGTTGCATCTTTATAAAACAAACAAATATGATTTATGGTGACTTGACAATAGTGAAAATAGTCTTCTTACATTTTTAAATTAATCAAATAAACTCTTTGTGACATTTTCATTGACTAATCACAGTGTAAGTAAATCCTGGTCTTCTCACTCAGAGTAAAAATGTTGGTGTAAAACTACTCTCTGGGACCTGATACTTTTATAATTTATCGTGAGCAGATGTAGTTTTTTTTACAGTGCTTGCAAAGAATAAACTATTTAATTAATTAGCCCAGTGTCATTTGGGGACGATATAAACCATTAAAATCTTGATACTTGCACAATATCAACAATATCCAAAGACCTTACTCTGAAACACCAAAGGTTTTGTACACAAGTTACTCAGACATGTTCAATTCACTTCAATTCAATTTACACAGCGCCAAATCACAACAACAGTCACCTCAAGGCGCTTTATATTGTAAGGTAGATCCTACA